TTTTACAAATAATATTTTAGAGAAGGTATCTACCAAATTATTTTTGTACACTGGATTAACAATGAAATTTAATGTATCTGTATATTATTTCGTAATGCAATTCTACGCTCTTGATTGAGATGACCTTAGTATACCTACTTACTTATGTAGCTATTAAAATTAGACAGGTTTCTTAGAGTGCATGCAAATTATAGGTGAAGTTTCAATGGCAATGGTTAACAGGCTCAATTGCCACTATTATATGAAATTAGCCAAGCAAACTAATGAAATTCAAATTTAAAAGACTTTTATTGATCTCATTTTTATTTCATAATAGTGAAATGTTGATATAGAGATAAATGAAATAATTATTTTATATAAGTAATAAAGTTGTACGTAGGTTCTTCGTTATAATATAAGTACATATACTTATTATTTTGCATTTTTACTTATTATTTGAATACAGTCTCAACTCTATATGGCAATATGCCTCTCTTGCCTATTTCCCGAGATATCAAACGCAACAAAATGTCATAAATCGTGGATGTGGCATTAGTTTGCATCACAATAGAGTGGGGTCGTGGTAATGACGCGCGACGCCAGCGACGCGACAGCGACGGCGCGACGGCATTAGGTTTCACCCGGAATTAACTCGATAATATCCTAATTGTGTAATTAGACGTCGCCAATTTGCTTTGGGATTATTAAGTCGAACTTGACCGCCCTGTGATGGGATATTTGCAATTTAAAACTAATTAATTGTAATTAATTCATTTATATTATGAGTATTCTATCATAAAAGTTGTTGTATTAAAATTAATATGATATTATTGAGGTATAGTCGACAGTTAACAATGCACTGGATTATCTCATCTGGGATTACAATTATGCAGGACATATGTGTATTCTTCACTATACCTACCTATGTTTGTAAGACTTAATACGGAAAAATATTACTAGTCTCTTATATTCAATAATGATGTGTTGTCGAAAAATATTAACTCTTAAGTATAGTGATGATTTTTATGAAATACAATTTGGTCAATAACAGCTTCACGATCATCTTAATAACACGTCGAGAGCTAAGCGTTTCGCTTGAATATTCATCTCAGTTCATCATTATTTTGGTAGATAATTTAAAATTATCCAATCTTACGAAGCTGTACCAACTTAGCTTTGCTCTGTGAACATAGCATGTATACCACCTCCAATTATAACGATTTATTGCTTCTCACGTTTATTTCGCTTCTTTTTCATCACGTCATATTACTTAATACCTGTATTTATTGTACCTGCATTTATTAAACATTGTTACACATTATCTAAATCGTAAAACGTATATTTACTGCAACATTTCTTCATGACACTTCATTTACCTACTATCACTGCTAGCAACTACGATATATCGTAGTTATTAGTTAGCAATAGGTATACCTATTTATACTTCTTAAACTAACTGTAACAAGAAAATTATTTCATTTCGAGCATGCCCAGTAACTCCCTCTGAGTTAAGTTGTGGTATGTAATTATTGTAAGGAATATATTATTTCTTATATTAAGTAGTTATTATTGTTACAAATGTATTGTATTAATATCTACTTATGACTTTTATTGCTTCAATTAGGGCTCTAAAGTTGCTTCTTTTATCAATTCTGTTATCATCAAATAATTGTAATAGCCACCAATAGATACAGAGTTTAATAATTAATGTAATAGTGCAACTTGAAACAAGAGACTTAATGTTTTGGGCAATCTTGTGCAATTTTACTATGAATTGCATCGAATAAATTGGTGGTTTGTTCACTGACCTACTAAACTAATAAATGGTTGTCTATAATTAAGTAATCCGATACACTTGGCCATTGATATATCCGGTCGCCTTTCAAATTCTTGTTGAAGCAATTTTCTGTTATTATTTTTATAAAAAATGTAATTTTATTGCAACTGTATATATATATATTATTATATAATGTCCGTAGTATAAAATTTAAAGCTTTTAATTATTGCCTAGTAAGAAATAAACTTTTGGTGTCAGCCTGATCCAGTAGTGACAGTAATGATGGTACCAACCATAAATTTAATAAAGTAAACAACTAGTCAATGATATTTTAAGTATATCCGTAAATAGCTATAAATGGAGAAATATGAAAAAGATGTTGGTAGCCGCTTAGATTTCAACCAAATGGATGAATTACGTGCTTAAAAAGAGCTATGCCTAAAAGATAAATATGTTAGTAAATAAGATTCATTTTGATTCGTAGTATTTTGCGTTCCTTTTTCTCTCTGTCCTACTACAATTCAGGTAATATTTTATAGGTATATGTATTTAAATGTGTATGTTTATGCTATAATAAAATAAATATGATATAAACTGAACCTTACAAAAAAAATTAATTCAAACATACCGTCACGATTCTTGTCCTAGGATGTAGGTAAAGCAAATGTTGATGTTGTGGTGAACGTTACATTTGCCACATGCCCATATTGTGCTATTGTTGAAGCCAACGTAGCTATCACAGTATCTTATAATTTTTGATTTGAATACCGACAGTGTTTCATTGACTGTATCAGTCAGAAATGAAAAAAATATTTATTTAGTGATATAATAGGTACATGGTAGTAAACCAGCTATGCACCGATATTCTTTACAAAAAAAAAATACTTTGTAGTAATTACAAATGTGTTATGAATTCGGTTTACCAACTACATGCATCAAAAACAAATGGTACAGCAGACACTACAAAATAAATGTAACAGCTGGTGAAATCATCCCGAGAGTCGCTACCTGACTGATATTACAATTTTGTGCTCACATTAGGTAATCTCGTTTTATTTCATCTCGTATTTTTTACGAGAAAAGATCTTCGTCATTTTTGACAAGGAAAAGGCCATCAACATTGTAATGTGTGGACGGCGCCAGCGTGGCGGCGTGAACCGTCATCCACACTTTGATCCACTCCGAACGTTGACCAATTACCCGATATCACTCGTTTCGGGCACCCAAATGGAACATAATACCTATGATAATTATGACTTCAACGGGCCATGGTGTATCATCCGCTCTTCTCTTGGCACTTACCATTCTTGTACTTAGGTACAATATACAACTATCTGTATAATTGTAATATATCTGTAAAACAATCTAACTACATTAGTCTAATTAATAGGTTTTTATTACACAAAATAATTTATCTAGACACAAATTTGTACTTCTGTATTATTTCAAATACCTAAGTATTAATAACTTATGTGTTGTATCATACAATATTTTAGATTATGTTAGTCATTCTATGTATACTACTCGGTATCTTGCATTTTTATTCTACGAATTACATGCTTATCAAACACTTTTTCAAATTAAAGCATACCATACACGAACGACGCGACGTCAGCGCCTCCGCGGCAGTTTAGCGGAGTTTTATTATTTTTTTATGTAAATCGTAATTGTCGTGGTTAATTGAGAGCGCAGCCATATTTACAACTCGGCAGATGCCGGCTCTGATAGCGCACTGGGCCGGCCCCATTATTTCTATTTACTGGAACTCGCCGGCCTCCGACGAATGCGTGTATTAAATACCTTTATTTTATCTAACTTCTTTTACTATAATAAAGTAGAGAATGGAATGAAATATTCACAATAATTATTATTGTGAATATTTTTAATACGTCACCTACTGTTCAATCAATGAAATAATACACGGCGTCTAAAAAAGTCAGGCGCGCGGACGTTCATTCGTGGGTTACAACAAATAGAAAATAAAGTTATCTGTTTAATTTATAGCTACACTATAATAGTTTATAGTGTAGCTATATATATAACATTTGTTTAAGTTAGCGTTCTTACACAATCTTAGTTTGGGTTCGAAGTATCTACTTACCTATCTATAAACCGATTAACAGTCCTAAGGGTTGGTGCACACCGTTCCATGACAGCTGCGCCAATCACAATGTATGGGGGCGTGGTCGAACCCCGCACCGTTCTACTGGCCCCGTGTCGTTGATCCTCGGATTACATTATTGCACACAATGGGACTTTTTTACTGAGCCATTGTGTCATATTGGGGTGAAATATCCGGCCGGATGTACTCACCTTTTACCCACGAAAATGAACAACGATGAAAGGATTACTCTATTCTTTGGCCATTTATTTCTCCTCCTATACCTTTATAGGATGTAATTCGCTATTTTACTCATATGAATTTGGATGTAAATCCGTCTATTCAATAAGTTTATTTATTTTGCACCCACTGGATAAAACTGACAGACCAGAGCATTATCATATCACATTGGTTTTTACATTTATTGCAACTTAAACGAAAGAGACAGAGCTATATCGATCATATATTATGTTATCTGTGCTAACAATTAAAATAAGTACCTAAGTATTTCTTAGATGATTGTGGGGAGATATGACTTTTTGCATATTTCCATTTAATTATTAAACAAGAGTTACAAATAAGTACAAATTATAAAAGAGTAATTAGCAATTATTATAATTAAAGTATAAAAACTTAGAAAAGATTAACATTCCTAATTTTATTGAAAATTCAAACCTTAAGTGACGTAACGTAATGACGTGACGTAATGACGGGGTGTTCTGCCCCCCTCTCTCCTACTACACTAATGTAATTTGTGAAAATCTATAATATTATAATTACTTGCAACATACAATCAAAGTAGGTATGTAAGTAAAATTTTACTAAAAGTAAAACTAATGCAGACCATACTTATTAATTACGACATCCTGCGGCTTCCGAATGGTAGCCACCGGGAGCTGTCACTGGGCTCCTAATTGTAAATACACTACGTATAAACCCCTCATAATTTATTTATATTATTTCCGAATGCCTCGGGCACGAGTCGAACGCCGCAGCATCAGTTCTCATATAAATTAGACTATAAATCTGAGTCGACAGTCAGACCGATTCTCACGGTCTCAACATGATCCGTTAATTAAACCCGAATATAGAATAGTTTTTTTTATTCAAAATAATTAACTGTCTATTGTCTGTTCTTTCCAGGAACATCCGAGCTTACGTGGCACGCCTTTGGCGATGTTGGCCGCGCAGTGTAACAAGCTATCCAGCAAGTCACCTCCTCCGTTAGCGGACGCCGCAGTAGGGAAAGGGTTCCATCCCTGGAAGAAAAGTCCCGGCGCACACTCGCCGCCTGGTGGGAGCAGCACGCCCCGCTCTCAGCCTCCTGCGTGTACACCGTATGCACGAGGACCTACCTCCTGCGCTGCAGCACCATCAGCTTATGGAAATGACCTTTATTTTCCGTCATCTGGAGACCAACTTCTAGGCAAAAGTGAATCTAGTGCGAGTCTTGGTTCTATGTATTCGCGGCATCCGTACGAATCATGGCCGTTTAATGTAGGAGGCGGAGGCGGCAGCGGAGCACTAAAAGCTGCTGAAATGAGTGGCGTTGGTGCTGTAGGCAGTACGTGGTGGGATGTACACAGCGGCTGGTTAGACGTTGGTGGACAGATGGCAAATTATGCCGGTCAAGACTACTCCCAACTCACGCATTCCCTCTCTGGTGGAGCCCATTTACTGCCGCCTGCTCCCCATCTTCTTCAGGATGCATATAAATCAGTTTTACCAACACAAGGCTCTTTCGGATTGCATGGACCCGGATCCCCAGCGCCACCGGCACAAGCACCTTCACCTCGATCTCAACGCCGCTACGCGGGGAGAGCTACCTGCGATTGCCCTAACTGTCAAGAAGCTGAACGACTAGGACCTGCAGGAGCACACCTTAGAAAGAAAAATATACATAGTTGTCATATTCCTGGTTGCGGTAAAGTATACGGAAAGACATCCCACCTGAAAGCCCACTTACGCTGGCACACTGGCGAGCGACCGTTCGTTTGCAATTGGTTATTTTGTGGAAAGCGGTTTACGCGCTCCGATGAGCTGCAGCGACATTTACGCACGCACACCGGTGAGAAGAGGTTCGCATGTCCGGTTTGCAATAAGAGATTTATGCGGTCAGACCACCTGGCAAAACACGTGAAAACCCACAACGGAGGAAAGAAGGGTAGTTCGGAGTCGTGTTCAGATTCGGAAGAAAACAGTCAGGGCGAGGGCGGTGCCGGCAGCCGGTCGCCCGAGCATCCGTTGGACGTGAAGCCGAGCGCGCTGGTGTGACGGGGGCGCGCGGCGGCGGCGCTCGCGGTGCCGCATCCTCACCACGCACCGCCGCTCCTGTGATACTAGCCCCGCCGCCGCCGCCGCCGCCATCGTTGCCGCCGCTGTCACGTGTACATAGCACATATCAAACACTGTAAATTAATGTGGACCTGTAATTATAGACGATACGATGCTGCACGCAGTCGCAGTCCTCGTGTGCGTATTCATTGTGAGACTTAAAAGTGTTGTACAGTATAGATAATGTTGAATATAATTATCTCATTATATGATAGTTAGAAACTATATGGTAATTAATAAAATTAGATATGTAAGTAGAATGACACTTAGTCCAAAATTGCAGTTATAATTTATTTAAAATTTGGTAATATCAGTAATTGACCTATGTAAGTATTCGAACAGAATACCAGACCAGATTTCTGAAAGTTATTTAAATATACCTACAATTTTAAAAGTAATCCTGTTATAATTATAATAATACGAAATCATGTTATATTAATACGAAATATGTTTATAATGTTGTATACAGATAGGTACACCTTCTTAAATGCATTTAGTCTATTTACTAGTTTAATATCTGTCAAATCATTTTATTTATCATCATAATTTTTTTAACACAGATAACTATTCTCTTTTATATCAAAGTAATTTTAATTTAAAATGTTTGAACAATAAATAATTAGAGGTAGTAAATACCTACTTCAAATTATTAGCCTAATATATACTTACACTCAATATTCCTTTTTACAATTATCAAAGCGAATTTTGTACTGTTTCCAAAATCAGTTAAAGTGTTAATTAACAGTTACAACCTGCAGTAAATATACTACTAAAACTGTAATACTAATTCAATATATTTAATATTTCAAGAAGAACAGACGTGATATACCATTGTACGTAAATCAAAATTGGAATTGATATAGAAAACATAAAATAATATTTTAGACAGGAGTATGGGTAGGTATCTCTTGTCTAGAATATTATTTTATATTTCTTTATATTATATATTAGTCTCTAAATTTCATACAATTTCTGATAAATATATGAGAATACGAGATTATATTTATTTCTTTGGAATTAAAATGAAACGAAGAATCACTTCAATATATAAAGTTTTTATTGATTTTAATAACATCGAAATACCGAAATGTCAATAAAAACAATCATGGTAAATATTCCGTATACATATTTATATGTACAATTGTATGTATGGTTTTATATATATGAAATCTCTTTATGTTATTAAAAATATGTCGAAATATTGCAATCTAAGAAAGCCGAATATTCTTAAAGTTTTGTTGGCTAAAATTAAGTGTAAAACTACTCCTATAATGTATATTGTACAAAATTGTGCGAATTAAAAATGCCTGATATTGATTTTATAAAAATTGAATATATTTTTTTCCGAATGGATATTTGTATTATTATTTACTTCCCATACTTAAGAAAATTATAAAGACAAATCCTACTTCTTCTACTTCTTCTTTATTATGCAGTACCTAGTAAAATAACCCAGACAACCCTCATGTTAAACTTGTTCTTAAATGTATTACTGTATTATAAGAAAACAAAAGTTTTTTTTTATAATTTAGTTACTTATATTTATGATACCCATACTAAGTTTAGTATATATATTAAATACAAATAACTAAAAATATTCGTAGGGGTAGTCCGCAGTGTAGGCATAGTGAAATACAAAAGCAAAATATGTAGATATGTAATTGGTTAAAGGTAAAAAGGCAAACGAGGGTGAAAACAAAAAGTAGTATACCTAAAATAAAATTAATTTATCATTTTTCCCTCATACTAAAGTAAAATGAACAACAAAAAAAATAGAATTTTAGGAACACGTTATATCTTGTGCTGATTTAACAAGGGTTCGAAAAGTCTGTTAGTTATATTTTTCTACTACATCGCACGGTCGACATTAAAATATAATTATGGTATTATAGAAAAATAATAGGTAGCTAATAAATGTAAACAAGAGCAAGCCAAAGGAATACGAATATCGATCTCAGGACAATTCACACAGAGCCATCTAGACCCAAGTTAAGCTAGCTAGAGCTTGTGTTATGGGTACCTACTAGATAACTGATACATATACATAGATATTTTTTTTGTAAATACATACATATTATACATAGAAAACACCAAGACCTATACAAACAATCATACTCATGAATACAAATGTTTGTGCCGTGCGAGGAATCGAACCCGCGACTATTGGTCGTAAAGCGGTGTATAATATTACGAATTATAAAATCTTGAGTATTTCGTGCCCTCCTTGGACTTTTAGGACTCCTTGAATTCGGCGTGCTAACACGCCGAATGTTTGTGCCGTGCGAGGAATCGAACCCGCGACTATTGGTCGTAAAGCGGTGTATAATATTACGAATTATAAAATCTTGAGTATTTCGTGCCCTCCTTGGACTTTTAGGACTCCTTGAATTCGGCGTGCTAACACGCCGAATTCAAGGAGTCCTAAACGGTAGGTTGCATTTAGATGAATCTAGAAAAATCAAAATAATTATTCCAAATTTACCTTTATTTATACTAATATTATAAACACCTAACATTAATTTAGTATGTTTAGTCTCTGCATATCCAAAATTACTTGTTGCATTTTAAGAATTATTTTACTCATAGATAGGTAATGTAACTCAGTATATAATAATCTTAAGTACCAATATATAGAGTTTATTGAATGAAATCTGGATAAATAAGTTTAACTACCTAGTTAAGGGAAACGGTAACGATAGTGTAAATTTCTTTACAGATACTATGATATCATCTAATGTTAGTTATTTTATAGTGATGCTAAACTTTTTTTTAAGTAATTGTAGTAACAATCAGGTGGGCCGTCACCCACCTGATAGTAAACGGTAACTTTCGTCTATATACATAAACAGTACTAGGAACATCACGTTATCATGTGACACAGTTGATACCACTCATAAGTTGCTATTCCAGAGGGTGAAGATGGCGTAACTCTAATCCTATAATTTCATTGCCTTATCTGCTCTCTAAAAACCGAAACACAGCTTACAATGCAAGCTGTTTTTTCAGACAAATTTTAACAGTCTAATTGTGTCCTTGATTTAACTGCTTTCAATTTCATGCCTTTAGATGTACCTATATAAGTTAGCTATAGTAAATACTAAACCACGAGAGTCTTTATTATTTTAATTGCTCAACTATAACATTTTTTGTATGTAGGTAATAAAATGACATTAAAGATGATAAATAGTCACCATTAACTAAACATACATATATATATGAACAGCACCACCACGCTTTCACATGGACACGTTAACGGTCGTGGTATCCGTCATGAGTTACAGTTCCAATGAACTAAGATGTCATGTACCCTATCATTTCAATTCAACTCCATACTATATTTACAAAAACATGGATATAAATTAATTTTTAGAATATAATACTTAGAACATTTTATTTGTTCTAGTATTTATGCAAATGTATTTACAGTATATAATAAAAATAATCCACTCAAATTACAATATGAATATTTTTATTTTTTATATTTATGTCAATATTAATTTAGTTATTAAAAAATCTTTCCTGCAATTTTAAATTTACTTAGGACAACAAGATCATTAATATTTAATAAATGATGCAAGCTTATTATATACCTACCTAGTCGTGGAGCCATTACATACATGCTTTTTTCAAGCAAAGCAACTTTATGTGGGGCATACGCAATTTCTGACTATTATTTCATTGCCATATTTCATCCTTTAACCAAAATACCAGACGATTTAGTATAAAATCATACTAATATCTTGTCCCTATTGTCGATAAAAGCATTGGTAACCTCTGCAGTAATTACTGACAGATCATCCGAACTGATAAACAACGACAACTTTTTATCATCACTGCTCATTCAACAAATGAATTTTTATACAGATGCTTACGCAAGCCAAGAGAATGTCATCAGATTTTAATCTAAAAACAAATAAAAGTTTTATTGCACACCTACAAAGTAGCATTTCGTGTAGCAGTGAAAGTATATTACGTCATTTTCGACCGGGTACAATTTACAGGAGCAGCCGCAATGAGGGCGACGTTCGTCGTAAAAAGCGAATTGAAACCACAAATAATGAGGGGAAGTAAGTGTCGTCGCGGCGGGTGGGCGCTCAGAGCTCGTGCCGTAAAAACCAAGCTCATCTGCGACAGTGGTCCGTAATCACGACGTGGTCTAGCTTAATCTTCTGTTTATTAATCACATTCTATGGTGGTCCCGAGGATTTACGGCACTTGATGTCTATATCCTGGGAATGATAGGCGTTACTGAAGCCAAAGAATTTTTCTATCAGCTTCAAATATACTATCTATCTTCTATATAAATAAATAAATTTGGATCAAATAAAATAATTACAAAGTAAAAAAGGCTGAATCGATATTAATTATTATGATATACCTAATATTGTACCTACCTATTGGAATTGAATAAATATCGTACTACCCAAAGGGAAAGTAAAAAGTCTGTGAAAGTTTAGGTTATGGATAAAACGTTTTCTGACAGCTAATAAATTAAGAATTGTACATTAAAAGCATCCAATCTTACAAGCTATACGTACAATTATGAATAAGAGACTCAATCTAAACTACTTCAAAGAGATTTAAATAGTTATAATGATTAGTATACGAGTGAATATATAACTACTTTTATACCACGATGATAGCAAACAAATACATGGTCCTTTTGATAGTAAATGGTTATGGTAGCCTGGTTGACATCTGAAACACCAACGGTCAACGTGTGCATTGTCGAGCCTTAACATAGGCAGTTCAATTACCTTATTATTAGAAATTAGACGGAACATAATTATAGAATAACAAAATGACGTAGGTACCTACATTTAATAGAGTCATGATAATTTAATAATCTTGTAATAATTTCTTGGTAACAGTGCCATAAATTTCACAATTTAATCATGCATGTTGACCTCTATAATCACATAAACTAGTCGTTATCAGAGTCAACCTTCCTAATCAAGTTAAAACCCGTGCCCTAAACAGTGATTTATCACCCCTAAGCGAATTACGAGTAACACGATTGAACG